ATTGTATAATATTTAACTTAACTGTCATATCGATTTATAACGATATTAATTGTAATTACACTCATTATGTTTATGTAAAGAATACATTTAGTATTAATGAAAAAGGTATTATTTTCATCTGTATTTTAGAAATGAATTATTTTTTTCAACATTACATCTTATCAACTATCAGCATTAATGTTGTTGCTTCGTCTATTAGTAATAGAAAAAATAGAATGCAAAATAATTATTGGTTGCAATGGTTATCAATGAAGGTATAAGTATATGTACATTTTACAGTAAGTGTAGAATTCCAACATTTACATTGGGAAAAATGTAGTTCAAGAACATGCTTAAGGCAAAAGATGCAATGAACAACTAATATATTAATATGAAGAGAACGAGGCTATTATGCAACAGTCAGAAATCATTTCCAATTATTAATCTTGCATTTCATGTAAGTATTGTTTTAATGCATTCTGATGACATCAGACAAAAAATTCCATGGTACAACACATGATAGCCCCTAATGAAATAGTTTCTATATCAATTTCATATATTCCAACTTTTGTAACTTGTAACATACAGTAACAATATCCATTCATTATACATTTAAAGCATGAGTTATCTTAGAGACCATAATTATTTTGTTAATTGATAAGAAAAATTGGATTTAGAAATTGAAAAGAAACTTTTACATGCATTATGATAATAATTTCCCTTTAACATAAAACATATATGTATGTTTTCATAAATCATGCTTAAATTTTTCCAACTGATTTAAGTTACACTATTTAAGTATTATAACAGAAGTTCTTAATTGTATTGAATGGAAAACACAAAGGTGGAACAACTATAAGCTTTGACATAACACACAACAACAAGATATAACATACCTTGAACTGAATATCATATTTAACACAAAATAATTCATATGAGAGAAAACAACATATAAAAAATAAAGTTTAACACTTTGCCTAAGGATTTTGCAAGCTTATATAAAGTTCTGAATGTGCCAGATTGTTTAATAACATAATAGAAATATTTTATTCGAATATTATCATAATTGTTCTTTTACTTTAAATATGAACTATGAAAGGTACATACCTGATAAGATCGAATGATAGCTTGCACAGCAAGGTGATCATCTATTACTTTTTCATTAACAGGTACTTGACTCAATTGGGATCCACCACCTAATGGTAACAATGCTCCTAAGGGTATTTGGTTATGACTTGGAGCAAGAGATGGTGGAGCTTGGTATGCAAGACCCGGTGCAGCTCCAGCAGTGCTATTACGAAAAAATGCATCCCAGGACTATAAAAAGATACATAAATATGACAAAACTTATAAAAGAAATATCCATGAATTACTATATGTACAATCAAAATTTTTAAATAATTTTTTACTGACCACATGTACACTATGAGGATCTTGTAGCCATGCATTGTACATTTCTTCTACATAGGAACTGGTAGTGCCATTTAAGAAAGGTTCTGTAGCTGCACGACTATTATATTTCCTTATTGATTCGGTAGCCATCACCTGTGTGGTCCTATCCAGGGGATGACTGCGTACCAACCATGATGCAAACCTCTTTGGCCCACACATACGTGGAGCCAAAGGGGCTAGTGTACTGAATACTGTCCTTGCCTTATACATTTTTCACCTGCAACAAGAAATATCAACATTTTCACATACCAAATATTTAATTTCTAAAAGCATACTATACAAATATCATATCATATTATAATACAAAATTATAAATATAAGTAACAAAATTTTATGTCTAATCTTTATGCGCAAATAAGAATTTTTTATGTGTTAGATTAAGCTTGAAGAAGATTTCTACATATTGCATTCATTGATACAGTAAATACTTTTGATTTGAGAATGATGATAACACCAATTGAAAGTGATTGTCCTTATCTGTGTTTACCATAACATATCAATGTTTTATTATATCATTTAATTTCTAAACTTTGAATATTTCGTACACAAATTAAAAAAGAAGTACCAATTAATATACTAAATGATGATACAGTATATATGATAGTATATTTTTAAATTATCCTTTAAATTTAATTGTAGATTTAAATTGCACAATGGCATAAGGATGCTAATTTTAATACCTGATATGTGATGAAATCAATTAATCCCTATATTAAGAATAAGAAATAGGTAGTTCAATATATTAAATATGAAAGGGTAGGATTTAGAAGAGAAATTGGCAAACATTCAAACTATGCTATATACATAAAAAATAAAATGTACAGTGAATATTTATATTTTT